TCGTGGTCCAGCGGCTGCAGCGCGTACACCTTGCCGCTCTCGGCGTGCACCGACACGTAGCTCGACAGCGCGCGCTCGCCCCCCCGCCGCTCCACCAGTGAGTAGGACACCAGCGCGTTCTCCTGCGCGTCTGCGTCGTGCGCCGACACCGTGAAGATGTGGCTGCCGGGCGGGTTGTTTTCTTTCACGAACACTGTGTACTCGGGCTGGGGAAACGCGGGGGCGTTGTCGTTCACGTCGGCCACCTCCACGGACACGCTGGCTGTGGACGACAGGGAAGGCGAGCCCCCGTCCCGCGCTGTCACCACCAACGCATAGGCAGAAACACTCTCTCGGTCGAGGGTGCCTTCCAGCACCAGAGAGTAGTAATTCTTGAAGGTGGACAGCAGCTTGAAGGGAACATGGGGAGTCAAGGTGCAGGTGACCTGCCCATTGACACCTGAGTCGCGGTCTGATACGCTGATTAGAGCGATGACAGTGCCTTCCTGAGCATCCTCTCTAACTGGGAGAGACAACGAAGTGACAACCACCTGAGGTGAATTATCATTTTCATCCAGGATTTCCACTAGGACTGTGCAGTGACCAACCATAGGTGGGACTCCTTTATCTGTTACATCTACATGAATTTTATAAATGCTGCTATCTTCAAAGTCAATATCATCATGTACTCTTACTTCTCCCATTGTTTCATTAATTAGAAATTTCCTTCTTATACTGGATGGGACCAAAGAACTAAATGAATATATCATTTCTTTATTTATTCCTTCATCTGCATCAGAAGCATTCAGCCTTATTACTAACGTTTGGTTCGCTGAATTTTCATACATCTTCACTTCATAAACAGGCCGGTCGAAGATAGGGGCATTGTCATTGACATCCAATACCACGACCAGCAGAGAAACCGATCCGGTAAGTTCAGGGTTGCCTCCGTCCGTCGCAGTTAGCAACAATTTAAGCTGAGGATTTTCTTCGCGATCCAGCTGTTTACGCAGCACAAGCGCTGGGAATTTGCCTTTGTCCTTTTTGTTTATAATGTCAAGAATGAAAAACTCATTTGGACTGAGTTTGTAAGTAAGCATTGCGTTCTCTCCAACATCAGCATCAGATGCGCCTTCTAGAGGAAATCGAGAGTCAAGCGGGCGAGATTCAGGTATTAAGAGCTTTTGTTCTCTTACGGAGAACACCGGCGCGTTGTCGTTAATGTCCTTCACCTCCACCTCCACGTGGAAAACCTGCAGCGGCTTCTCCACGATCACCTCCAGGTGGACGCCGCACACCGCGCTCCGCCCGCACAGCTCCTCGCGGTCCAGCCGGGAATTCACGAACAGGATGCCGTTCTGCAGATTCACCTCCAGAAGGTCCCCGCGGCCTTTGGACGCCACCCGGAACAGGCGCGGCACCAGCTCGGCCAGCTCCAGCCCCAGGTCCTGCGCGATGCGGCCCACGAAGGTGCCGTGCTTGGCCTCCTCGGGGACCGAGTAGTGGACCTGGCCGCTCCCCGCCGCCCAGGCTGCCAGGAGTAGAAGCCAGAGCAGCAGACGCCGGGCTTTCAGATCACTTCGCCTGGAAATCAACATCTTACCTTTCTCCTGTTTTACAAATCGATGTATCCGCTGTCTTGAAGAACACAACGCTCGAAATTTCCTATTTGATTTCTTACATCCAATATTCTCGACATGGCTGAGATCTCAGATCATACCTACTTCCTAGTCCCGGAGAAACAGTAGGTTATGCTTTTGTTCTGCAAATTCATTTTGTGGAAGACAGCGACATCCGGTGGCTAAATGTGTAAGTACAAGTCACTGAGTTTAACAACTATTCTTTCATTCGTTATTTTTTATATTTGCCAGTTTTTATTTTTATTAACTTTCAGTGATTCACCTTGTGTCTGTTTTGTATGTAATAATAATCAATGTTGACCCTCAGTTCAACCTCTTCTGGAAGCAGAATTTCAGAGAAATATCACCTCCCAAACCACGTGGTTTTCATTGGCTGAGTTTCAAAATGTCTCTAGTATCTGTATATTACTGAGTATTCAAGTATTTTGTTGGATGACAAGTTGCGATCTGTAAGTTTTAGTACTTTATTTCCATTCTCTTTGTCATTATTTTGAGATTAAACACACCGCATATAGACACTAATCTCCAGACACCAATTCACTTTAAGGTGTTTGCAACTCCTAAGTTTCAGAAATCACTAGAATGTAGGCTTCAACATCACACCTTTCTCCGTACTAGTTACTATTACTCAATTTACCAGCCGTGTGGTTAGGTAAACCAGTTAACTTCTGCCTCAGTTTCCACTTCCATACCATCGGTATAATAATTATGACATATTAGGAGACTAAGATTGTACTTTGAGAATGAATTCTACCTAAATAATAACTATTCTGGCTCCTGAACTTGACCACATTTATGGTTTCATGATGTTCAAGATCAAAATTGGCTACTGGGGGCAAATGATTACCTACAGAATGTTGTCATTCTACAACATTTTATTGTTGCTACAGCATGGTTTGAGTGTTTGTGACTCCTGGCTTTAAGAAAGCAGGCAATTAATTGTGAAATCAGTAATACAGAGAGACATTTCTTTTTATTATGTACAACTTACCTGGATTTAAAAAAAATCTTAATTAGTATTCTAAGTAAAACAATTTACAAATCTATGATATCTACTTTCAAAGATAGCTGCTTTCATCTTTGTTATTATTGAAACTTTCCTAATACCCAAAAGATATAGCTTGGGAATTTATTAAATAGTTTTAACGATACCAGTAGGGTTTTTTTTTTTTTTTTTTAATCACTTCCTGCAATAAAAGCATTTTTCACTCCAAGTTCCTTGGAATCAAATATCAGTAACTGAAATTCTCCATTAACCTCTATGCTACTGAAAAATGTTGTTTCTGCCTTTCAAAAAAGGAAAATTTAAAAAGATCCTTGCCCTTATCAAAAGGTTAGCTTTTTAATTTAATAATTTGTAAAAGATATTTTAAAGAGATCGATAATGTTGAACTCTTTTCATTGCTAACTAAGAGCAGCAAAGTGTTACTAAGAGCAGCAAAGTGTTCACAGCTCTTCTGAAAATTTCTATATGATAACAGTCTGTATACTCTGGAAGAGAATAAAGATTAATATAAAAGACAATTATGCCAACCCAGCCATCAGTAGTCCAGCCACTAATGAATTTTGTGATTGTGGAGGTCATGGTAGGTATTCAAATGATACTAGCTGCAAGAGACTAGGAAGTTGTTTTGGGGGTAAGTTAACATTTCCAGCAACCTTCAATCCATAGCACATAGTAAAAGATCTAACCCCAACTTCACATGGCACATGGAACCTTTAAAAATATATAAGAATAGATACATTTGAAGTTATGATTATGGATTTTGAATTTAAGTTGAGTTGTTAATTGACAAGTCTAGAGAGCTTTGGCTTCAGAAGCTCAGAGAGCACTCACTTCTTGAAAGAAGTGGGAAAACAGGTTTCTTTATAACGTTTTGCAAACAATGTGCTCTATAGGGGGAAAGAAAGAAATTTCTCTGAAATAGTTTATTGCAAATAAATTTTACTTGCACTTTCATGGTTACATTGTGGCATGATTCTCAAAGCTACTCTAATTTTGCCTCACTAACTAACTCACTCACTGCCGTTAAGTTGAACCAACTTGTAGCAACCTCTCCTGGGATTTCCGAGGTGGTATCTCTATGAAAGTAGATTGCCCAACCTTTCTTCTGAGCAGTGGCTGGTAGGTTTGAACCACCAACCTTCTGGTTAGCAGTCAAGTGCCTTAGGCACCACACCACCAGAGTTCCAAATAAAATATACGGCATCAAATATCTGACACAACATAAAAGAGCTGAACAAGAAAGAAAAATATAAATCACATAACAAAAACTCATCAGAAGATTTTTTAAAAACAAATTAGAAAATAGAGAGATAGTTTGCACTAAAAGTAGATGTGGAGAACCACCAATCAGAAAGTCATAAACTGCCAGGCTAGGCGAGTGTAGCATGCAGTGATGACAAGTGCACGATCTCATCTACAGAGCTGTCCTTTGGACGACTGAGACAACAAGAAAATCTTCCCGTAAACCGGTGGAAGTACTTTTCAACATTTCAGAACATGAATTTTGAGAGAAGTCACAGTGTGCAATGTAGGTGTATCTTAAATGTCCGGGCATTTTACCACTAAACTGAGAATTTCCAATGAAAAAGAGGTCTTCTTGAGGAAAGAAAATTTCTGCCAGAAAGTATTTTTCCAATATTAGAAATTTTCAGGAAATATTGCAGGTGTACAAAAAATTTGTTGGATTACTCAAGATATTCTTAAAATCTACATTCTCAGATATTTAGGAATATATTTTATTCATAGAAATAACTATATTTAGAATATTTATTGTCAGAACTAGTTTCTAAAAGTAGAGCAGCTCTTTTCTAGGGGTTGTTAGAAGTTACTTGTTGAATCACATAGATATTGAACAGTGCTGAACAGCCATGTACCTACAGTCTCCACCAAGGGAAAAGCAGAAAACTACCAAGTTAACAAGGTAAGAATTACGTTTTCTTTCTCCAGTGGTGTTTCCTATAAACAATATAATTAGACTAAAATGCTATACAGGATTTAGAAATGAATAAAATAAAATAAAATATAGAGTAATGTTAAAGTGGAATAGCGCCTAAGGCTTTGACTACTAACCAGAAGGCTGGCCGTTCTAACCCACCAGCCACTCCTTTGGAAGGAAGGTTGGGCAGTCTACTTCCATAGAGATAGTGCAAGGGTCGCTATCAGTCGGAAAGGACTCAATGGCAGCGAGGTTTTTTTTTTTTTTTTTTTTTTTTAAGTTTAATTAATGTGAAACAACTGAATTGGTTTTAACACTTAATCGTTATCGGCTCTTAAAGTACTATTTTCTATAAATAAAAGAATAAGATCTGGGAGATATTCAGAATAGATAAAATATTTAATTTTACAGCATAGAGTGATTTTTCAACATGTCAGCACTAAAGTGAATGAATAAATAAAATACTCTAGCAACTCACCTTCCCTGAAGAGTCAGTAGAAGTGTGTAGATCCTCCATTCCATCTGCAGATCCTGGACACGGTGGGAGGCTGGGGCTGAAGGCCATGAGGTCGGCCTTGGGCGGCCCCTCCCCAGAGCACACCCTCTGCCGCCTCTGCTGAGAGTAAGACCAGCTCCCCACCGCGCTGGCGCACACCAGCATGGGCTTCCCCGGCCCGCACGCGCCCTCTGTCGGCGGCGCCGAGCACCGCAGCGCCGTGTACAGCAGCAGCGTGAGCACCAGCAGGCTGGACACCGCGCAGATGGCGATGATCAGGTACACGTTGACATCCACCAGCGCCACTTCCCGGCCCGCGGAGCTCGCGGCCACCCGCAAGGACGTCTTCAGTGCCTGGCCGCTCTCCACTAGCGTTACCAGAACGGTGGCCGTAGCTGCCAGAGGCGGTTCCCCATGGTCCTTCACCAGCACCAGCAAGCGCTGGCGCGGCACATCCGCCTCGTCCAGGGCGCGGGTGGTGCTCACTTCGCCTGTGTACAGACCCACGCGGAACAGGCTGCCCGCGCCGCCCGTCACCGGCTGCAGCTCATATGACAGCCACGCGTTGTAGCCAGAGTCCGCGTCCACCGCGCGCACCTTCGCCACCACGTGGCCAGGGCCCACCGACCGCGGCACCAGTTCGCTCACCGCGCCGCCCGCTCCGCCCGACCCAGTTGGCAGCAGCGCCGGCGCGTTGTCGTTCTCGTCCAACACGAACACCTGCAGCGTCACGTTGCTGCCCAGAGGCGGGACGCCCGCGTCGCGCGCGCTCACCTGGAACTGCAGCAGCTCCAGCTCCTCGTGGTCCAGCGGCTGCAGCGCGTACACCTTGCCGCTCTGGGCGTGCACCGACACGTAGCTCGACAGCGCGCGCTCGCCCACCCGCCGCTCCACCAGCGAGTAGGACACCAGCGCGTTCTCCTGCGCGTCCGCGTCGTGCACAGACACCGTGAAGATGTGGCTGCCGGGCGGGTTGTTCTCCTTCACGAACACCGTGTACTCGGGCTGCGCGAAGGCGGGCGCGTTGTCGTTCACGTCGGCCACCTCCACGGACACGCTGGCTGTGGCCGACAGCGAAGGTGATCCCCCGTCCCGCGCTGTCACCACCAACCTATAGTCTGACACGGTTTCGCGATCCAGTGCTCCGTCCAGCACCAATGAGTAGTAATTCTTGAAGGTGGACACCAGCTTGAAAGGGACACGGGGTGTCAGGGAACAGGTCACCTGCCCATTTACGCCTGTGTCTTGATCAGTCACGCTGATCAGAGCGATGACAGCGCCTGGCTGTGCGTCCTCTTTAATAGGGAGCCAGAGCGTTTTGACAACCAACTCTGGAGCGTTATCATTAGCGTCTACAATATCCACGAAAACTGTACAGTGACCAGCCAGTGGGGGAAAGCCTTTGTCAGTAGCCTCTATTCGGATTTTATAGGATTTACTTTCTTCAAAATCAATCTGTGTTATCGTTGTGATTTCCCCACTTCTGGGGTCTATGAAAAATTTAGATTTTATAGTTAAAGGAACATCATTAGTGAATGAATACACTATATCTCCATTCAAGCCTTCGTCTAAATCTGAGGCATTAAGTTTAATTACCAATGTTCCATTAGGAACATTTTCTGGTAATTTCACTTTATAGAGTGTTTTGTCAAAAGTCGGGGCGTTGTCATTGGCGTCAAGCACTGTGATGAGTAACTGAACTGTTCCAGTCAGCTCAGGTTTACCCCCATCAGCGGCGATGAGCAATAATTGATGCTCCGGAGATTCTTCCCTGTCTAAAAGCTTCTTTAGTACAAGTCCAAGAGGTTTGGCTTCCTCGTCATCGGCTGGTGCATCCAGCGAGAAATATTCATTGGGACTCAGTCTGTAAGTGAGCAGAGCGTTGACTCCAATGTCTGCATCAGACGCGCCCTCTAGTGAAAAGTGAGAGTCAAGCAGCCTGGATTCCGCGATAAACAGATTCCTTTGTGTCGCTGGGAACACCGGCGCGTTGTCGTTAATGTCCTTCACCTCCACCTCCACGTGGAAAACCTGCAGCGGCTTCTCCACGATCACCTCCAGGTGGACGCCGCACACCGCGCTCCGCCCGCACAGCTCCTCGCGGTCCAGCCGGGAATTCACGAACAGGATGCCGTTCTGCGGATTCACCTCCAGAAGGTCCCCGCGGCCTTTGGACGCCACCCGGAACAGGCGCGGCACCAGCTCGGCCAGCTCCAGCCCCAGGTCCTGCGCGATGCGGCCCACGAAGGTGCCGTGCTTGGCCTCCTCGGGGACCGAGTAGTGGACCTGGCCGCTCCCAGTCTCCCAGGCGGCGACGAGAAGAAGCGAGAGCAGCAGACGCCGGGCCCCAGGGACTCTTCGTCTTGAGTACATTTCAAACACTCGAGCTGTTTTCTAATTAGCAAAAATTGTCTCAAAATTGCGGGAAAATTCTGATTCTTTCAGTTCTATCCCGGTGCGTTTGCCATTGCTCAGCAAACAGAGTGAAAGAGTAGAGCGGCTTTCCAGTGGGAAAATGGATGGCTTTATTTGTCTCGGATAGGAATTTCACAGCAGAGAGTGACATCACGTGGCCCAAAGAGTAAGTACAAATTTCATGAGTAAATATTCTGTAGCATCACCCTGCTCAGTTTAATTTCATCGTCCGGGTTTTGGTTTTTGTTTTCCTTAATTTTTTAAGGGAGGGGGGGAAGAAAGGTAGACTATATTTGTCAAGATTGCTGGAGACGCTCTTAGGGAACTGACTGCCTCTGAAAGTTTAGTCAGGCCATGAAGTGTGGCTTCCTCGTGCGTGAGAAAGCTAACATACATTTTTAAAATAACAACAGAGATGAAGTGATTGTAAAACTTATTAAACCACTATGAATTTTAAAAGGGAAAATTCTTTCACTGGGAGGAGTCCCCACCTTCCTAGATTTAGCATTTCGGAGGGAGAGGTCTCCAGGACTCACCGTCCCTAGAACCTCTGTTGCTGTTGTTGTTATGTGCCGACGAGTCAGACCCACTCATAGCGACCCCTTTTTGGGTTTCGGAGGCAGTATCAGTACGGAAGTACATTGCCTTGCCCAAGCTTCCTTCGGATGAGTGGCTGGTGGGTTTGAACCGCCAGCCTTCTGGTTAGCAGTCAAGTGCCTTAGGCACTATGCTACCAGAGCTCCTCTAGAACCTCTAGAATCCCAGAAATGTACTGGCAAAACGAAAACGTGCTTATGTCTGAATACAGGAAATACGGAAAATGAGGGACAAATTCAGGTGTTTTTCTTAAGTAATTTTAGAAATTGAAGACGTCGTAATATTTCAAGAAAGGTAGGAATTTCCTTTAAGATATTGTGTAGGAATAAATATTCTGTATTTTTATCTTTGTTAGAATTTATATAATCTTTCAAGAAATGCGTTGGGTACCTATAACTATAAGCTTTGGTTCTTTCTCAGCCCTGTTGCTTCTGGATATTTGCCTCTTCTTTACAATCTTCAAGACACTTTATATTATGGCTTTTCATCATGTGTTTCTATTTCATTATTGTTTATCCTTACTACTTAGAGGAATTCCTTTTTTCTTACAATGTCTGAGGTTCTTTTTCTTCCTACTGTTCTATTTATTCAGGAACACTCTCTTGTGAGCTCTCCTCACATTCTCCAAACTTACATCTGGGTTTTAGTGCTTCCCAAGTCTAAAGCAAAAATCATCCTAGTCACTTGACCTATTGGTGTTTTGTACACCTATCTTTTCTTTCATGTTCTTACTGCTACCAACCCAAGAGGAGTTTTAACTAGATAATCAAGGACATTAACTAAATAATACCCTTGACTATTTCAGTGGTTTATCTCCTTGTCCACTCAAATCTTTTTTAGGCCCTTGAACCACAGTGTTGATTTCTTTTGCTCAAAATAGCTACTGATTTACTTTTGAAGAGAGTTTAAATACCTTAGTGTAATATTCAAAGATTTATCATGTATTTAATTTTAAGAAACAGAAAACTCTATTAATGGAAAGGATCATACAAAGATTTCAAACATCTTTTCTAGCCTATGAATGATCTGAAGGGGACCTCATAAAAGATCATTTTCACATAAAACATTAATATGGATGTCTATAATGATGATTTTCTGACATTTTAAGTTTTCTTTTTTTCCAATCATTAACTTGTTTTCTTATTGGGAATAATAATACATAATTTTTATTATTCAGTTATCATTAACCAGACTCAATTACAAGCAGCTTACAAATATTTAACTTACCTGATAAAAACAATTTTACCTAGGGAGTGCTACTACTGTCATGCATAAATGTGAAATCAGGCATAAAAATAACTAATGTCCTATCAAAGGAAGGGATTTGAATTCGGGGAGCTTCAGAACCCACAGAACTTAATAACTGGGCTCTGATACCTTTCATTTTAAAGAAGTAGTTAACAGGCCAAAGCATTGCCCTAGAGGGAACGGTAGAAAGTATTAGTAGCCAAGATATAGGTGTGAAGAGCACACCTCCAAAATGAAATGTAAGTATCAGTCAGGGTTGGAGGCTCAGAGAACTGAAATGAAATTATGAAACACATTGTCAAATACATTGGCTGATGGTGGAAAGGACCCTTATTTCTCCTTATGATATTTAAAAAAAAATATTTAGGAGAATAATTCAGTAAAGTTATGCTGTAAGATAACTTACACAATGGAAAACATTTTCCTCTATTAAATTAGTACAAGAAACATAACCATATAAAAAACCATAAAAGCCCTTGAAGTTGAGGACTGACATTAAAATGACTCATTCGATGTAATAGGTCTCTAACAGTCAGACAAAATGCTAGGCACCGACAGGCATTGGAAGAAATGGAAAACGAACCACAAAATCATACTGCTTTCAGATTACTTACATCTGAGAAAGAGAAAAAAAATTTACACTAATGCTACATAAAAAGATAAAGAAATTAATAATATGTTTATAATTTTAAAAAAAATAAAAAAACTTGTCTTTCAATCAGTTCTGACTAATGGCAACACCATGGGTGTCAGAGTGAAACTGCTTCATAGGGTCTTCAGCGGCTGATTTTGCAGTTTAACTCTACAATACTAAAGCTTTTTCTTGAATTAATGACCTGGTGGCATAGTGCCTAAGGCATTTGACTGCTAACCAGACAGCCGGTAGTTCAAACCCACCAGCCACTCCTCGAAAGGAAGGTTGGACAGTCTACTTCTGTAGTGATACCGCCTCAGAAACCCAAGGAGGGGTCGCTGTGAGTTTGACTCCACGGCAGTGAGTTTCTTTCTTTCTTTCTTTTTAAATCATATTGAGTATTCTGTGTAATAAAGCGTTATAAATTTTGGTCAGCAAGGGTGGAAATAATTTTTGTGTACAGTAAAACTTATCTTGAAATAGTAAAACTTCATAAATGACATTATATTAAGAAAGCATTAATTATATGCTCCTTACTGATTTTAGCTGGACAATAATGAAATTAGGAAGAAAATGAAATTGAAAAATAACAACTTTTGGAAAGAAATAATCGTTGAACTTTTAAAAACGGCTGCATATGAACAGCATAGACATAACACTACAACACACTAAAAGGAATGGAGAAAATAGGGTGAGTGGAGTAAGGATAGAAAATAAGAGTAAAAATGAAAGTACTGACAAGAGTACATATGAAATGGAAAATAATTGAAATGAAAAGCTATTATCAATATTCAGCAAAAAGGACACTTATCCAAGTACATTTTGAGCTTGAATATAAATGCAAGTTGTAACGTATGCTTACCAATATCATACTGCACTGGGAAATAATTAACTCTACTGTTGAGACAATTTTGACTCATAGCGACCCCTGCTTGGGTTTCTGAGGCAGTATTACTAGGGAGCTCTGGTAGCATAGTGCCTAAGGCACTTGACTGCTAACCAGAAGGCTGGCGGTTCAAACCCACCAGCCACTCCTCGGAAGGCAGGTTGGGCATTCCTACTTCCGTAGTGATACTGCCTCGGAAACAGAAACACAAGGAGGGGTCGCTATGAGTCGGGCCAACTCGATGGCAAACAACAACAACATTACTAGGGAAGTAGATTGTGCAACGTGACAATGTTTGAACTGATAACAAGTGTAAAATTACTTCATATACAACAAATTTTACATGTGAAATACATCGGAAATAATTATAAACTTTAAAATTAATAATTCCAAAATACGAGTTGGCTTACTTTGGCGTTTAAATCCTGCTGTTCGCTTACATCCTCTGATCCTGGACACGGTGGGAGGCTGGGGCTGAAGGCCATGAGGTCGGTCTTGGGCGGCCCCTCCGCAGAGCACACCCTCTGCCTTCTCTGCTGAGAATAAGACCAGCTCCCCACCGCGCTGGCGCACACCAGCGTGGGCTTCCCCGGCCCGCACGCGCCCTCTGTCGGCGGCGCCGAGCACCGCAGCGCCGTGTACAGCACCAGCGTGAGCACCAGCAGGCTGGACACCGCACAGATGGCTATGATCAGGTACACGTTGACGTCCACCAGCGCC